ACACGACGCTCTTCCGATCTCCCCAAAACCCCAAAACCCCGAAAAGCTGGCCTTCAGTAAAAAATGAACAAATTTAAATTGGCATATTATTAATTTCATTGATAGTAAGTTAAAATTATAGTATTTATGGCATTATTAGAATAAAAAGCAAACTTGCCACTTCAATAGTAAGCAAAAGAGTCAAGTCCTGATTCTAGCATTTCTATGGTAAGTTATTAGCTACTTTAACGTTTTACTAGTAGAATTCTCATTTAATTGAGGGTTATCTTATAAAGCTTAAAAGTCAAGCTTCTCGGAAATTCTTCTCGAACTATGTAAAACGCTATTTTATCCTGGATCTGCAAAAACAAACTTTTTCCTATAAGCTTTCTGACAAGCTTTAACAGGATAAATTCGTCATTAATCTTAAAGACATCATAAAGGTCCATAATCATTCAACAATTGGCTAAAATGATGATGATAAGGTCGATAAAAATTTGCTACTTGAGTGGTAATTTGATTTTATGATTGAGTTTATTGAACAGCAGCCCCAACTTGATGAGAGTTAACAGTTGGGGAAGCATTAATAGTAATAACAATAATTAATATAACAAAATCAGAAAACATAGCAGAATTTCAATAAAAATAGTTAAGATCAAGAAAATAGTGAATAGAGCAATCTAATTTCAAACAGGCAATCCCCTATCATTTAATCAGATGATAAAATTGAACCAATAAAAATAAGAAAAATGATACTTCTTTCTAATAATGAAGAATTATATCTTAAGTTTGTATATGGATTGAATTCGAAGAGTAAGGGAAAATCTGATGAAAGGTCATCAAATTCTAGCTAAAGCTAATAATCTTCTTAAGCTACAGTTACACCTCCAAATAACAACACTAATATTGGAAATAATAACGAAGTTAGATCTGATCCAGGCTAGTCTACAAATAGAAAAATAGTTCTTGGGCCTTAAAATAAAGACTAATTGTTTTCTACGAGATAATCAATTATTGATGAGTTAGATTTTAAGGGAAATCCATTGAATCATAGCAATTAATTTCGAATAAAAGCACCACCATAAATGTTGAGTGAGGGATTAGATGTAAAAAGGAAATATATGGGTAATTCCTCACCAGTTAATAAACCGATTGATAATAATAGAATTTAGACGAGAATGACTCCAGATCAATAGTATAGAGAACAAATTTACTAAATTAAATAGATTATTCTTGTTAACCAGTAAAATCCCCACATTTAAACTCTAAATCAAAATAGAAGACTTAATAAAAATAGCCATAACAATGCAAATGCTCCCCAAGTATACAAAGAACTAATGTTCATGGTAAAAAGCTAAGCTGATTAGGAACTAGAAGAACAAGCTATCAGGATTTATCAAACTATCATTCAATAAGATGAAGTTATTAGAGATGGATTTTTTAGTTCTTGTGACTAAAGCTTAAATTATTAATTTGGACTGAATGAAGAACATAAACTCATTTTACTAGAACGTGATAGTGACTGTGAGTGGACTCTAGATATTGAGGAAAAAGGCGATTCTAATAAAAATGATAATGGAGATAATCTGAACATTTTAGATGGAGATTTTTCTTTTGAGTGTTTTGACCAAGGAAAAAATTGTGTCAGCTCAGCCCATGTAAATACCTTAAAAGTTAAGACTAATTGATTTTCCTATATTTCAAGTTTATAATGACTTTCAATCTTAAAGCAATGTATATATAGTTAAGGGGTTTTGGGGTTTTGGGGTTTTGGGG